TACTGCATATATACTGCATATATAAACAGCAACTCTGTGCTTTAAAATTAATCGCTTTTTAACACTAATGTTATTTTAAAAGAGTAATAAACAAAATAAGCAGCACGCGTTGGATGAAAGAGTTAAATATCCCTAGTGGAAAATTATGAAGTGATGAGTGTCTGTGTGTGTGCGTGACTGAATAAATGAATAATGTTTTAGCTTAGAGGGTGGTCCTTAAAGACTCTTGTGTCCTCCTGACATGAATATTAAATACCCATGATGATAAAGGCGCCTAATTGTTCATCTCTGCATTTGCTTACCTCCTCCTTCATCTTTGTCTGAGTTTGAGATTCTATATTTCAAGTATGTTTGTCATTGAGGATGTATGTGTGAGAGAGATTATTTGAATGTGTGCATTATGTTTATATTAGTGTGAGTTCTGCTGTTAAAGTGTCAGTCCCTGTGTGTGATGTCTGTAGCCTGTCCCAGGTGCTCCATTGATGTTTTCATATGCACGACTCACATCTTTCATCATTTGGCAAGACAGGCCCTTCATCAATCCTGATGCAACCACTACACACTTGTAACCTCAACACACACACATACACATGCACACACTGTGATCTGTCCAGGCATCCAGGTATTTGATGACTGCAGTGAATTTTGATCAATATGTTCTTGTTAAAGCACCAAAATTATATACACACACTATGAAACCCAAATTACCAGCTAGTTATTTGCCTGCGTTACTACCAGTGTTTATTTGTACACATATCATCAAATGTTACGACTGGATATATATGAAATATACTATGGTGGCTACAAATCTCACAAAAAAAACGAAGTGAAAGACCCAAACTAGAACCAGTGTTTGGTTTGTCCATTTTGGTCTACTGTAGAAACATAGTGGTTCAATATGGTGACAACAAGGCAGATGGTGGCAACACAGCAATTCCTGTATTCAGGTGATGATACACTAATGAAAACATACCTATGAATATTATTACATTTCTGCCAGCAGATCCTCCTAAATGTCAACACACTGGACCTTTAAGTCTAAAAAAAAGCTAAAATATGTAAATAAATATATTTGGAGCAATCCTTGATCAACTGCTATTATTTTGTTGTCATAAATCAGAAATGGTGTTTATAGGCAATAAGACTAAGTGCCTGCAGCCATTCTAGCAGCTCACTATAAAACGCTAACATTTTCAATGTTCAGACTCCTGGTTTAGCATGTTAGCATGCTAACATTTGCTAAGCACTAAACACAAAGTTTAACTTATGGGAATGACTTTAGTTCAGCAGGTAAATTAAGCTACTGTACTTGATGCTAGATAGAAAGTCATCAAAGTGACCGTGAGGGGGACAGAAATGTCTGTACTAAATTTCCTGGTAATTCATCCAATAGTTGTCGGCTAATGAATGGTGGCACTAGGGGAAAAGTCAGGGGATCAAAGCAATTAAGATGCATCTCCTGGGGTCCATGCATGTCGGTACCAAATTTCATGGCAATCCATCCAACATTTGTTAAATAATTCCGCTCTAGATCAAAAGTGATGTGTCGACCAACAGACCTACATTACCGTGTATGTAGTACAGCTACAAAAACATGATTTTACAACCTTAATTAAATTCCAAACGGAAGAAATGTGCATGGATAAAAAACTGGCAGCTGCACAGACATAAAACAGTTAAATGTGACACTTGGAGATAGAGCCACAGCTGGCCTTGTAGTATAGGAAGTGTTTACAGTCTGATGGCTGTCGAAATGAATGACTTCCTATTCTCCCCTGGAGCAACATCGATAAGCTCTTCTGGATGATTAGCGTGTGATGGAGGGGTGAATTGTACAGTTCATAAAACGCCGGTTTGAATAGCATCCTCTTCCTTGTTCCATCTGGATTATCTTTTCTGTCAGTGTAACAATGAAACATTTATTTTGAACATGCAAGATGCTACTGTCAGCATTTGGTAGTGCTTTAGAGTACAATTACTGGGTGCCCAGTTAGCGTAGTGGGTAGAGCTGGCAACCCATGTACCAAGGCTACGTCCTTGCTGCAGCGGCCCAGGGTTCGAATCCGACCTGCGGCTCTTTGCTGCGTGTTATCCTCTCTCTCTCTCTGGCCCCCTTTCCTGTCTCTCTCCAGCTGTCACTATCATAAAGGCAATTAAAGCCCCCCAAAAAAAAAAAAAAAAGATTACAGTTACTGTATATATATATATTTGCCCAGATGAGGTACTAAGGAAATGCATGCTGGGTACAAGTGAAGACATGTAGGAAACAAGGGGGTAAAAAAAAGACCTACAACTTAACTATTAGAGTATGGACTTTGCCTATATATACATTTTTCCTTTGCAGTTACACAATTACAAAAGTGTGTATGTTTACATTAATGAACTAATGAACTACTCTATTACTACTACCACTGATGATGGCCTATCTGTTTTACTAACTCATAAGCAGAGTGCTCAAGAGGACGAACACCTACCAAAATTAAACAATTAATAGAAAAAAATACCACTAATAAGAGTTATTAAAATAGAAGCAATCTCATTTTCTGATGAAAGAGTTCAGCTCTAGTCTTTAATATACTGTGAGAGAGTACAAGGACATTTGACATTTGAGTAAAAGAGGGTTATTTTGGAAAATAATTTGTTCCAAAAATAAAAAAGTTAGGTTTAACATCACTTTTATTTACTCTTGTAAACATGAGTTTGTCATATTTAATTGTACCTCCCTATAAATAGCAGGTTTAAAAACATTCAGAACAGTTTCATTTGATCGTTCGTTTAGTCTTTGTTCCTTAACACTAAACACACAAAATGCCAATAATGATGACCCATTTAACTAGATAAAAAATAGCTTTGCAATGCAGAAGGAGACAGCTCCTTCGTACTATGCTTCCCTTCCTTTCATACTATCAGATATTTGTACAAAAAAAGATCAAATCTACCTGTACCTTCCTTAATCCAGGCTTTATGTTAGGCCAAAAAGCATGTCTTAATTACATAATTATCAAGGCATGTTGAGCCTCTTTATGCTCTTCAGGGATGAAAAGAAGCCCAATTACCTTGAACCCTAAAAATATGGGATCTGTAGCAGAGCGGAGGATTAAATCAATATTACGGTCCAATCTAAATCAATGCTCCAGTAACAAAGCAGAGAGTAATGGAAATATCAAAGCGCTCAATGTTTGGACTCTCCAACATTACTCATCTGGCCTCCTGAATGGAGTCTTATCTCGTCATGACAACAGCATAGAGAGAGAGTAATTGCCATGGCAACAGGTCACCTTGAGTTAGAGTAGCTTATCGTTACCTAAATTAGCGTCAGGCGAGCGCTGCTGGAGATTTTAAGAAGTGTCATGCCACGTTGTCAGGCCTGACAGAAACCTTGTCCAAAGTTCAAACGTTTGACAGTAGATTTGAAGTTGAAGAATAACATCATTGCCACTTGATGCAGTCTCTTTTCTGCTGTGTATTTATGTCAGTCACCAGCTGACATGTGACCCAAACACCAGAAGGATATTCCTCCAGGATGCTGCAGCAGATGACTGACCTCCATATGACAAGATCAGAGGAGGCTTTGATCGGCGACCAGATCGTCGTCTTCATCTCCTGTGCTGCCATTTTTTCCCTTTCTACCTCATCTTTTTCCATCCTCTGTGTACACCTCAAAAGAAACGTTAAGCATTGTGGGAAATACACTGTTTTGTCGAGAATTGAGGAGAGATGAGGAGATCGATGCTGCTCTCAAATCTGTGCAGCAAATATGAAGCTATAAGCAGCAACTGGTTAGTTTAGCTTAGCATAAAGACTGGAAACAACTAGCATGGCTCTGTTTGGTAAATGTAACAAAACACACCTACCACCACCTTGAAAGCTCACTACATTATATCTAAGTAACACATTATGTGTAGAAAAACAGAAGGCTTCTGCACCCAGCCACAAAATAGTCCCACACTTAATTGCCCGTAAAACCACAACTTTTCATTTATACACCTCTGTGTTTGAACAAATGAAAGATGTAGCGTGTCAATTATTGAGCTTTAGAGGTTCTTGTAGGAAGATTTTGTTACCTTTGGACACAGCTAACTTTTGTTCCCAATTCCAATCTTTACACTAGGCTGAGCTAGCTGGCAAACTTCTAACTCCCAGTGAGAAAGCAAATACATGTATTTTCCAAACTATTACTTCAAGACTGGCATTTGTCCATTAGAATACAATTTCCCTCTACAAAATAGACATGGACAGAAAGAAAAAGACTCTACAAAGAAGAGGCACACATGTATGTTCATCCAAAAAGGCTCTTTAATTGGTCTAAGTGATTAATTACAGGGTGAGGGAGCCAGGTAATATAGATACTAGAATAGCTTTCAATTACCTCATTTAAATTTGATCATTTAACAGTTAGAGGGGATGGGAAAAGAGGGATGATGAGGGAATATAAAAGAGTGGAATAGAGAAAGTGATGAAAATCTTAATATAGGCCAGCTGATAGAGTTAACACAGTAATAACAAATATTTCAGTAAATTGGCAACAGCTTTACAAAAAGAAAAACAAAGGATGTGCCAGAAGTGTGAATAGAAAATTTTAAGTGACTATAAATTCCTATCATATGTAGAATACATGTTTATGACACTAACCAGCCTCAAATAACACATTTTATCTATATCGATATAGTATTTAGATGCTGAATTTATTTATTGTGAGGCCCTGTGTGATGTTGTGCTGTACTGTAGCCTCATACTGAGACCCAGTGAGGAACAAGAATCCATAGTTTAAGACACCTAGTGCTGGTCAGTGCTGTCCCAATACTTTCATCATTGCAGATTGTGTTCATATGGACTGCTTTCAAAAAGTCTCTGCTTCCTCTGACTCATCACTAAATGAAGACTTGAAGGGTTTAGCTCCAAAAAATTATAAATCTTTGAAGAAGTTACCTGAAATTCATTAACAGATGTCTCAAAATGATTATTTCATTCTAGAAAACTGCTGCTCATCTGTGTCTGGAGTCAAAATGTTTTAATATTGATGTCTTATTTTGGAATTAAACTCTTCATGTGTATGTTGCAGCTGTCTTCACAAATCTTGCTACAGTGGCTGCTTGTTTTTTGGTGGCTGTATTTAAAGAGACAATCTCTTATTCCTCCACTATTTCTCCCCAGCTGTAAACGGTTCATCTACTTGACGACACCCAAGACTGAATCCCAACCATCCACAATAAAATATACACAACACACACACAGCATGAAAACTCTGGTTATAGTTTAACCATGCGCCAACACCGTGGACTGTTGTAAATCTGAGTGCACATCGAAGCACAGAAAACACACAAGCGTTGTTGTAGGTAGCAAGTGAGCAAAACCTGCCAACTCCAGCTTTCCAGAGCTTTCTTGAGGATAAATTGGTAACAGTGCAGTCTTTTTATCTTACTGTAGTGTACATCAAATAAGTCCTAAAGATCTATAAAATTTGCAGACCCAAACTTCTATTCTTTACCACACAAAGTCACATAGAAAATCCACAATTACCTCAAGTCATAACTTTTCCCTCTTACATTAATCTAACCACTACTCCCTCTCTACAGTCTTGTCCTTTGTTACTCCTCTGTGTCCATCTTATGAGATCGATATGGTTTCTCATCAGACCTCAGACTCCAGACTGGACACCCGTCGCCAGGGACGAAGTACGCAGGGGCTCCCCATGGGCTGACCCCCTGCTCCCTGACCTACCTTGGCCTCTGATCCAGTCTGGGATCCCTGATAGACCCCATAGGCCCCATACACGCTATCCTGGTACAGCAGAGCCCGCTGGCTTCCACATCTCCCGCCCCCACAAGCCAACAGCTGGCACACTGGGCTGGGGCTCGGGTGGCTGCTGGAGGCCTGGCTGTGCTGTTGCAGGTCTAGGGGGCCGTGGTAGAGGGGTAGTCCAGGGTATGAGTTCAGGTAGTGGGCATATTGTCTGCTGAGCAAACTGGTAGCTCTCCGTACCATCCCCCGCCCTAACCCAGTCCCATGTCGCACTGCTTCTCCGTATGTGGGGAGGTGGGCCGAGTGGGAGTAGCGCAGCCTCTGGCCCTTACGCCCCAGGGGCCTCCTCTGGTCCTCCCTTATGTGGAGGTAGGCCTGGTTCCGTGGGAGGCACAGGTTGTTTCGAAGGTGGGAAGGGTTGTAGGCCTTTGCAGGTGTGGTCGGTGTAAGAATGCATGGGAACAGGTCTGGCAGGGTGGAAGGTGATTGGCTCGACAGGGATGACTGGGATTCGTCAAGCTGGCGCATCTTCTCGCTGCCCCAAGTCGCTTTAAGGAAAGAGGGGCGGCGGTGCCTGCGTCTACCTCTCAGCATGAGGTCCTCTGGGGGCCAGGAACTGTAGTTCTCTACCCGAGGACACATCACCTCCCCTGAGTAGATGCTGTCGACGCTGGGGGAGATGTGGTTGTCTTGGAGGTGGTTGGCTTTGAGCTCACTCAGACAGATGGGACTTTTGTCACTCTTTTCCTGGTCCCTGTGTTTTCTCCTCTCTACATCCCCATCCTCACACTGGAAACTCTTGGACCTTCGTTTCCGTCTGGAAAAGCCCGCTTGGACGTGTTGGTTTTGAGGCGAGGAGACCGGGTGAGAAGTGTAGATGTCAGGTAGTTGGAGATCGGCGTAGGGGATGAAGGGCGAGTGAGGATGGGTGTCAACGTAGAGTCTCCCAGTGGTCTGGTAGTGGTGCGGTTGCTGATGAGGGAGTGGCTCACCCACGGCCAGGTGGGGGCTGCTGAGGCTAGACACAGGAAGTGGCCGGTCATACAGACACGAGGAAGAGTGAGTTGGTAGTGTGTATCGCAGTGGCGTGGGCCTGGTCACACCCCTTTGCTGTTTCAGAGAGGTAACAGCAGCCAGAGGCGGGGTTATGGAGCGCTGGGGCAGTGAGCAGTGATTCTCTGTAACGTAAGCAAATCCTCCTGGCACAGCCTCCGTGGCGACTTGTGGAACACGAACAGGTAAGCTGCCACCGTGACGACTCAGCTGCTCTATGGTCTTGGTGGCATTGTCCAGAGAGGTCTCAACATTGGCAGTGGAGACCAGGTCTTTGGCAGTGCGAAGCATCTTAAGCATGTTTGCTTGAGCGTAGTTGGAGGTCAGGTCGGGTTTAGCAAAACCATATGAGTGCCCAGTATCCTCCACTCCATTGAAACAACTGTAAATTCCCTGAGAGAAGAAAGATAATGACACAGAATGAAAAAGATAAAGAAATAATGAAGAGAGAAGAAGAAATGGTAAAACAGACAGGGGGAAGAGGAGTAGAGTATAAATCGCCTAATCACTTGTAATTAAATCAATAGTCAGCCATAAACTGTTTAACCTTGAATCAACGTAGCGGTCTTAAGGGGACAATTTCAAAGACGAGATTTCAACCAATTTGTGCATCTCAAAGTGACAATCCACCTCCTAACTAATAAAAACCCCACTGGCAGTAAAATAAAAAACTGATTTCATTAATATCTCATTTTATCACTGAGGCAAGACTTAGTCACAAATTCATTATGCATTCTCCCGGGACTCAAAGAAAAACAGTTTAAGCTGAGAGGATTGCCCCAATAAATGCACACGGACACACACGCCTAAAGTCCCCTGCAGAACAAACCGTCTCTAACTGCATGGACAAACACAGCCAAATCCCATGACTGCTCTCTGCTTACAGTTGGCTGAGAAATCCTGAAAGAGCCAAATTTAATTTGGCCCTTGGGGCCGCCCCATACGGATTAATGATCAGATAGTCATTTAGCCGTTAATCTGATAAAACCCGGATCCAGGCACAATGGTGTAATTACACGGCAGAGGAGCACAGAGGCTGGAGTCCGTAGACATTTCCTTGGCTGTTACTTGAGCCAGAGCTTTTTGCCTCAATAACCACTTTCTCAAACGACGGCATCAACAAACTGGGAACTGATTTAGGCTAATTGCAAATGAACATTAAGCAATCAAAGTTAAATGTTGAGTAAACACCAGAATTAGTGCTGCTTTTTCTCTCCCCTCCCTTCTCATTCTCAATAATAATGCAGTGGCATTTTTGGCAATATTTTAACGAGGCCCTCCAATGATACCATGTAATTACATGCAAATAAACATTTGCACTAATTTATCACCACATAAAAAGCCACTTCATATCAAACAGCATATTAGACTAAAAAAGCAAGCAACCGACCACTTAAGAGTCAAAATAATCAAACTGCCAATCTTTCAATCACTCAACCAAGCTGGTACTCAGCTAATCCAATTACAGCCAGCCAATCAGTCACTAAACTAAATAATCACTATAAAAAATCAGTGAAGCAATTTCTCTGCCCTACTTCTATAAACCAAGTAATCAGCAATCAAACAACCAACTGAGGATCCATAAACAACAAGCAAACCAGCTTCCCAAAAAACAACTAATCAATCCACTAATTTGCAAATCTCACCCTGCTGATGGCCAACATGAAGTCAAGTTTGTGAGACTTGTGAAGGGAGTGTCGTAGTTTCCAGTAAAGCAGGTGTTCCCAAGCGAAAACCAGCAAGCTAAGGCCCATGGCCACGAGCAGCATGTAGAAGACGCCCGCCATGTTGTCGATGTCCAGTTTGCTGCTCATCACTTCGTTCTTCTCGTTCTGGCAGATGCCCGACAACCACACAGTCTCCAAGCGCTGGGTGTCGCCTGGAGGGACGGAGGTTTATGGGAGGAGGGGGAGGAAAGAGAGAGAGTATGAGATGACTTGACAGAGTGAAGAAGAGAAAGAAATATGATAGCTTACAATAACCTGAAGATAACCATTAATGCATATCTTCTTGCATGTGATATACCTTGCAGTCTTAGGATGGTTACACATTTTTGTTATTTTAGCTCCGTACTGGCCACCACATTGGATTTGAAACGTTCATTATAAAGTTAAAACCATGACTATGGACTTAAATAAAGTTGTGATATTTGGTGCCAAAGATACCGTGTCAATGTCGTTGAGTTGATTTCCAGTTTAGGACTTGTACCTCTCATGTCAGCATCCAAGTCATAATTATGACTATGAAACTCTGATATAACTAACTTACACAGAGGGGTCTGAAAAATAAAAACAAAATTAATGCTTCATGTCAGCCTAAGTCTGTTATTATATAGTATAGCATATGTCAACCTTCCACAACCAATGCTGCATTCATACACATGACCTAGCGTATTGAGGTCAGGTGACAGACTTGGCCAGTGATTGGTCCTTATTTCCTTGTTTGTATATTTATGCTCCATTTTCCTAAAATTGGGGGAATATATACAAAATGGGCTACAAGTCATACACTCCAAATATTACCAAACGAATGCTGAAAGCTAGCACCTAAAACTCTATAATGATCCATTCAAATGAATCCCAAAGTTTCCAAAGATCCAATATGTCAGGCTGACGTTTGGAAACATATAACATGTGATCAGATGGTGCAGCATCCAGAATATGGGGGTCTTGGCTTGTTTTTATACACATATACGCAAAGGTATATCCCTCTGAGGTGTAAATGCATTTCAGCATGCCAACAAAGCACCTTTTGAACAAGAAGAATTTACAGTGCTTAAATGCATCTCCATTAGCTATCATTAGTGCATAAGCTTCTACCCCAGGTCTCTGAACAGGTGGTCTCCTCTTGAGCTGCGTTCTCCCCAGTGGCATCCAGGGAGCACGGCCCATTTTATCACTCAGTTACCGTATGTTGACCACAAACACACTATTTATTACATCATCATGGAAAGCTCAGAATGAGCGCGAGTGTGTGTGTGTGGGGTGCTCTTAAGCTCTCAGAGGAGGGAGGATATTAACTCCACACCGGTGGGCCGTCATGGTGAGTGTGTTTGTGTGTGTATAGGTAGGAAGGATATGTGTGTGTGTGTGTGTGTGTGTGTGTAATAGAGATAATCATATCCCTAACACTCCCTGCTGTTCTGCAGGATATTAACTCTTCCCTGTAAGCCCACTTCCCTGCTGATATAGCACACACTGAACTGGACTGTTGCCAGTTCCATGGCTCCCATACAGTGTGCCATTGAGACAGAAATAAACACAAACATAGGAAAGTGTACGAGTGTGTGTGCAGGCATGGGTTATGTATCATATTATGTGCCCACCGTCTCCGAGGAACTGCAGCAGTGCCAGGTCAATAGGCCGTTTCCAGCGGGAGTCCTTCTGCAGAGCGATGCCGTATCCCGTGGTGGCAAACACTTTCCCACTGCCGATGGTTACCAGCTTGCAGCCCTCATCCTTCCCCGCCATGTAGTTCAAAACAGCAGCATCATAGATGAAGGCGTCAAGCTTCCTGCAAGCAAATAGATAATCTACGTCTGAGAGAATTTTTAGCTCTTACATAGAATTCTATTTATATCTCAATGTTTCTCTCTTAAAGGATCCGACACTATCATTGGTTCTGCATGTTTTAGCCCATTAAATACAAATGGTGTATACTTTTCATTGCTGCTGATCATTTTCAAAAACATAACACAACTTTTTAGATTTTTCCAACCATGCAGGCTACTATTGCTCAGTTCATTTGAGACACAGTCAGAGACTTGAAACTTGCTTGAGATTGCTACTCCATCACAGCAGACATTCAGTCAACTTTTTAGAAATGTTTTGTCAAAGTTACATGCAATAGTAGAAGTCGTGAGTACTCTTCTTTACTACAACCACGAAGAGTTTTCCATGGCTGCAATATCATTAGTATTAAATATTATTATATTATTATGACTCAGACAAACAAGTTTACAGCTACAGCTCTGTGAGGCTACTGCCTTGAGCTAAATGCTAATATCAACATGCAAACATGCCCACAATGACAATGTTAACAAGCTGATGTTTAGCAGGTATAATGTTTACCATGTCCACCATTTTGGTTTAGATTGATAGCATGCTAACATTTGCTATTTAACAGCAAATACAAAGAACAGCAAAGGCTGGTTTTAGTTTTGCAGATATTTGGTCATAAACAAAACTATTTTTGTACATTTGAAATGTACCAGAATTTGTGTCAATCCACCACGTAGATGTACAGATACTGCTGGTGGAGTTAGATTAAAAGTCTGGGGATCACAAACGTCTTCCCCAATTTTTTAGGGAATCAATCCAAAAGTTGTTGATATATTTCAGTCTGGAGCAACCGACTGACTTTGCCCTCCAGACAGCCACCAGTGTTACTTAAAGAAGGTGACAAAATGTTCCATGCGGGTTTCAAGTATCTGAAAGATAATTTTAATTCAACCCTAGCAAAAGGAAATCAATCAAGCAATCAAAATATTGAAGTATCTGCAATTTGTAGTTAATGTGCTCAAAATGTGCAAAATCATTTCACGTGTTTTGAGTTTTTTCTTTGTGAAGACTGGATGTTTGACAGCACTTTTCTATATGCATATTAAGCTGCAGTAGACATGATTTTTTCATCTAAAAATACACCCATCACACCGGCCTAATTTACAAATAGGTGCTACTACACAAAGAGCATCAAATCTCTGTTCTGTCACCCAAATTATGATCATTATTACTGTGGCGTCTCATGTCTTCACTGACCAGAGAATCTGGTAAATTTACCCTCTTATCTAATTGTATAGTATAACATAGTTAAAATTTCAGTAAAACTGTACCCGGTTTTGAGGCTTTCTAGAGCTTCTTCCACCCCCTTCTGGTTGTATTTCATCATGTGTGTGTGCATGTCGGGGTAGTTGCTGCGGATGTTCCTCTCTGTGCTCCCGTTTGGGACCGTCCCGAAGCGGAAAGGAGGGTAATGCTCATGTGGTTTCTGGAACTGTAGGGAGACAGAGGATGAGAGGAAAGGAAATGGGGTAGAAGATATGAGAGATGAGGAGAGGGAGACAAGAGAATCGAGGGAGGTAAGAGCAGAGGAGGTTTGGTAAGGGGGGGGGGTAAGAGAAGAAGAAGTAAGGATAAAATAGAAGGAGAGGAGAGAGACTGAAGGGAGTGAGAGCAGAACAGGGGAGGGTGGGAGAGATGAGGAGCAGACAGAAAGAAGCGGGCAAGAAAAGAAAAGGGATGAAAGAGATGGGAGGTGATGTGGAAAGAAACGAGGGAGGAGGTAACAGAGAAGTGGTAAGGGGACAGAGGGAGAGGGGAGGGAGAAATAATGAGGAGAAACATTTTGAGAAGCGGGAAAAGTCAGAGGACATGGAGAAAAGAGGAGAGATAAGGGAGAGTTGGGCCAGACAGAAAGGGGGAGGAATGAGAGGAGAGTAAGAAAAAGGAGGGCAAGACAAAAGGAGAAAGGGTAGGAGAAGGGAAGGAAGTAAATGAAGAGAAAACAAGGAACAAAAGAAAGAAAAGAAAGAAGAGGAGAGGGTAAAAGGAAAGGAAAGTCAAAGAAAGGAATTAAGGAAAGAAAAGAGGAGGAGAGGAAAAGAGGAGAAGAAAGAAAGGGAAAGAAGCAAATTAATAGAGGAAAGCAAAGGAGAAAAGAGGAGTAAGGTAAAAGGAAAGGAAGATAAATAAAGAGTAGAAATAATTGTGAAAAGAGGAGAAAAATGGGGCCAGAATGAAGAAATGGGTTGGAAGGTAGTAAAGAGGATGAGGGACTACTCAGTTAAATGAAATCCAGTTTAGAGTCATTCCTTTTTTTTTCCAAGAACGACTTCATCAGCAGCCAAACTGAACAGACGTAATACCATCCCACTCACCTCAATTTGATTAAATCTGATATCAGTCAACAAACATCTGTTTGAATCATTTCACTGCCCAAAGATGATCCTAATCCCGCTCAATCTGTTCCCGATCGAAGTTCACATTTCACGAGTTGATGTATTAATGCGGCATAAAGCAGAAATGCGTCTGTTAGAGCTCAATTAGACTGTAAACAGGAAAGATCTATTCATCTTGGTTACGGCATTGACCTTCTGAGCCGAGCACAAATGAATGGGCCAATCAAAAGGTGAGCGTGTGAGTGGGTGTGTGTGTGCTAATATAATCACTCTTCAGCTGTAACTGTGATGGATTCAGTTGAGATGGTGCACATCATCTTTTCTTTCTATATATAAATCAGCTGTTCGAACAAAAACCCACATCACAGAGACAAGATTAGAAATTCAAGGATAGGTTCAGTCTTATACAATACTGTGTCCATATGCATATTGATTATTATTAGCATTACAAAATCCACATCGCTGTGGACAAACATGGCTTTTAAAGTTTAGCTAAAGCTAATATGAGGGTACTATGCACTGGTCTGAGTTAGACAAATTAAGTGGGTATTTTCCAAAGTTACTGGCTATTCCTGCTCTGTGCTACTATTCCTCTGCCATGGCTCAGCAAGAAAACACTGACAAGAATTTCATACTAGGACTTTAACTTAAAGTATGTTCTAGGCAAAGGGACTCAAGGCCCAGCAGTGCCCAGGAAACTTAAGAACTTTAATATTAATAAAGACATTTTAACAACTAACAATAAGTCACCCATTAAGCCAGTTATCGATTCCAATATTGCTCTTCTCTATCAAAAATAAACTAGAACTTTCTCAAATCATCAACACTCATGCCATAACAACTACCGCTCAGTCAGATCTCTATACCTAGTCAGTTAGATGGACAATGAGAAACTCCTCCAATCAGGTCACCATTATAAAAACCCTCTGGCCAGTAACACCTTTCTGTATGCAATACAGCATCACAGACTACATCCAAAATGATCATTCAGTTAAATCAACACATCTTTCAGTTTTAACAAGAACTAAACATTATAACCCTCATGCAGGTTGGATTTGCTGCACGCAATAAAGTGGCAACTGCGTGTATAAGAAAGCTGTTTAACACCTGCAAATATATGTATTACTTTCTGCACAGCCATACGTAACTTACGTGTTCTTACTTGTGAGCCAGTTTTTCTAAATCTGAATCATAAATACTCACTATAGACATGCACATTTTACTCCTGTTTGAGTAATGCTGTTTTAAGAAGGTAATGACATTTTTAGACAAATGAGCTTGAGGTTAAAGGTCTTCATGGGCACACTTGGTTCCTCTTAACAAAAACTCTACCCGGGTTATTATTCAGTCTCACTGGGTTAGGTAGATTCATGTTGCGCTGCTGAGGGTCTTTGGTGTGTGTGTCAGTATTTCCCGAGTGGATCAGCTATCACACGATGAATAATAATAATTATCGCAGGAAGAAAAACGTGTTTTTTGAGGCGAGATGGAGAGTGTGATCTGTGAGGTTCAGGAAAAATGAGGTAACACTTTATTTTACGGGTCTTTAATTTCTGAATCATTTTCTAATCATTTCCAACAAGTTTCCTAAAGTACTATGTCATTTGGTACTAATTATAGGAAAAAATAGAGTGGCCAGTTGGCACTCGTCCAGTTAACTAATGCCAAGTAATTGCTAGAGTTTATTTATAGGGGACAGTGCACAAAAATCAACACTGACATTAAAAAACATTGGTGTAAATGTGCTGGGGTAGTCCCGACTCTCTTGTGAGTCTTGTGAACAGCAGGTTAATTGAATATGCAAAAACATGAAATATATGAATACTATTATATTAAACCCTTGATTAAGAAATTAATAATGAATTATTAACACAACATATGTAACATAAAGCAATACCCAAATGACATGTTTTGACTGCCGCTGCTTATTAACTGGTGATCATTATGCTGCTGCCAGTATTGTCGTTCTCTCTCGATTTCAGTCTGTTGGGGTCGACCACATATTGAATCAGGTCTGATTATCCTCGGGTCTATTCAGATCAGGTTCTGACTGTCCTCAGCTCACTTACGGATCGAGTCTCCGTAGTATTCTCATCATGACTGGGTAGGTTATTCCACAGTCCTTTTTGAGAGGGTAGGGAAGTTGGACTGAGACGGACTAACACATTGATTTTCGTCCTTTCACTGCAGGTATTAACAATAGGAAAAATATAGAATAACATTTGCCTTATCCTTTAAATCTGTGGGATGTGAACCCAGCCAGCCTACGGCCTAAATCCGCCTAATCCTCTGTCGTGTAGGATCTAAGGAATTAAGGGGCAACTGAGGTTGTGTTGTTCAGGGTAATTTATATTGGTCCCTTATGCTGTGGGACATAATACATCTGCATAAAGTTAATATAGTCAGTTAATTCAACCATAGATCACTGAGGTGGCTTTGCTGATCCCTGCCAGGGAGTTGTTTTCGCTATCTCTAAAGAATGAAATGCTTTCTTATAAAACTCCTCTGAGGCCCCGTTTCCGGGTTGAGTTTTTGTGTGTGCGAGTTTGTTTTCTTCGGTGGCTTGAATGTTTTTTAATCGTTTGACATTTGGTGATCTTGTTTTAACAGTGTGAGCGAGACGATAGATGGAGACGGCACAGGGGGAATATTGATGGACAGACCGAAATACTGACAGGACAAGTCGAGACTCAGACACCATCTGTATTGACAGAAGGCAGTAATTGATTAGTCATATGTGCCACTGGGTTCCCCACTGATAGGAAAAGGACAGAGACGTTCACAACAAAGTCCTTTTACTTGACTTCATCTTAAAGGCTTCCTGTGAGTCCTTTGTTTCTCTTCCGTTCATGGTTTATTAGGTGATGCAGAGTGATGAACAGAGAATAGAGAAGATGAAGTGGCATGGATTTATACACAAAGACAAAGGAACGGTTTGCTCCATATCTCATGGCTCCACAAAAACAGCCTGCTTTCTGTATGTCTGAGTGGATTTTCAATAACTGTCCCACCTCATAATCACTCTGAGGTTATTATTCGCAGTGAAACAGTTCTTTATTCAGTCTCTTACCTTCTTGTCAGAAAGCCCAGACACTGTGTCGATATATTGTTCCTGGATCATGAAGGCAGCCAGGTTGGCAGTGTAAGAGGCCAAGAAGATGACAGCAAAAAAGGCCCAGACCAGGACCATGATCTTACTGGTTGTTCCTTTAGGGTTTTCAATAGGAACCGAATTGTTGAAGACGATGCCCCACAACAGCCACACAGACTTCCCAATGGTGAACGTCGGACCACCAGGAGCTGAGTAAAGAGAGGGAGGAGAGAGTCAGAGAGGTTGTTTCTGTGTAGCAAGGTCCTGTATTCAACATGAGGACAACTATAGACCAGAGTGAGAAAAGAGGGGCAAACACTGATACTGTAAGGTTTATGGTTTTTCACAAATGTTGGAAAACACATTTTAGTGCTCTAGCGCTGTGTAGACATGCAAATAGTTTTGGTTTTACTTGCCTGGGCTTTAAGATTTAATCCTCCACCCCAGTACAAAAGTAGTGAATAGGATTTTGTTTGTGGCGCTCAAAGCATTTAAAAAAGGCATTTAAAAATCAATGTCAACATCTCTTCCAAGAAATAATACCTCTATTATGCTACATAATCCACAGACCATGCTGTCAACAATGTTCTTTGTAATTCCCCACCAGAACGATACATGTAAATGTCTGTTAGTAGAACATAACTAATTGGAGCGTTTTCTCATCTAACACAGCTATGGTTAAGGTTTGGTTTGGTTTAGGCATATAATCAACTTGGTTAAGGTCAGGGAACAAGCACTGTCAGTAGGAAATGAGAAGCCAACAGCAGGTTTCCCATGTCAAAGTCTTCGTTCCACTGCAGACTTTTTTATAACAACATCACATCATTTCCTCCTTTGATCCTGATGGAGAGGAGTTATAATTCCTAAAGCTACTACAGCTACTGGTCTTTTCCAGTCGGATGTATGTAACATATGTCCTTTTTTGGGAGGACAATTTTTAATTGGGACAATTTTCTTTTAAGAAAGCAGTTAATCTTGGTAAGGTACTTCTAGAGGATGAAAATGTTTTTTGTAATTTGGTTATACAACCTTTGCCATAGATGTATTGACTGTCAGTTTGATGACATCAGTTTTAAGTAACGTATTTGTTTCTACTCGTTGTCTCATCAAGCAAAATATGTCCGCTTTGTAGTTATTCATGAGTCATCTCATGCCCTTCTGCAAACTTCCAAACAACAGAACAATTTCACAGCCTCAGCCTCCATCGCTCTCTGCCACCAGTGCTCATGTGCAGCAACGGAGGGTGCCGCCACCATCAATCACACTTCGATTAGCGCGGTGACGAATGCTAATTAAAACAGGAAACTGACCTTTCGGACCTGGAGACGAGGCACGCTCTGTCAGTGCTGCATTCTGGGATTGATTAGACCTCTCCCCAAAATCCTGTTGAGGAACTTTTAACGTTGCAGAACGTGCAGACGGGGCTGGATTTAACGGGACGCACACAGGCTTACTGTGAAGTGCTTTCTAAGATTAGCAAATTAAATACATTTCATGGATCTTTTTTTTTGCCACAGCTTCTGGCTATTTTCTGACTTTTGATCAAGTAAATGCAAATAACTGCATTCATTCTTGCCGAATTACACTCAGAAAACAGCAGACATTGCAAAATATGTGAGATTAACAAAATATGATACATGGAAATCTGTGGAATAAATATGGATTTTACTGGAGTTTTCCTCCTGCTTACCCCTGAAGAGTTTATGCTGTAATGATCATTCACTCCTTTATCGCCCACTGTACACAGGAGGAATACATTGTACCAGTAAAAGTGAAAGAAAGAGGTTTAAAACTCACATTTGGCGCTGACCAGACTGCGGTTGTAGCCGACTGGACTGAAGTATTCGAACACAAAAACTGTCACCGCCACCACGGTCAGGCACATCACAAACATCATGACCCAAACTGCTGGGCTATAGGGCTCTGGAGGAGGAGGAACAAATATGAAGGATTAAAGTAAGTGTCTTTTGTACTTCCTGCTTCTAAACCTCAGCCTGTGATGGGGGTCACCATATGTGTTAGGAGGATAGCTGATGAGAAAACTGAGAAGACAGAAATACACATTTCAGGGTTTTGAGCTGAATTTTGTTGTTTGGGGTTTGGAAAAGGGATTTAGGTGTGTGTGCGGTACGTAAGGGGATTTAGTTGTAGGTTACAGTTATCGGCGGGATAAAAGCTTAATGGGAAGTTTCCTGAAGCGTCTGCAGAGACAGAACTTGGATAAGTAGGCCATCCTGGAAGAAAATGGTGAGAAAGAAGGTGGTGGCAACATGGATGACATGTACTGTACATCAAACTCCAGGATAATGGATGTTATGACCAGTTTAAACTGGCACAATCAAACAGAAATGGATGTAGAAGCTGCTTTTTCTTACCGAGAAAGGCAGACGGGGAAACTGTCCCGTTGCTGCGGGCTACCATGACGCTGATACCTGTCTCAACAAACGGCACGGAGAAATCGATGATTTCCGAACGTTCCTCGTTGATAGTGAGAGAGCCAATGGCCATATCAGCTCGTCTATACACCACCTGAGAGAAGAAAGACAGAGACAAGCACAAGAGATACAGAGAAGAATTATGGTCAGCACTATAAAAACACGCCATTTATACAAAACCATTGTTGGTTACTGTATAAATCAGCAAAATAGAAGTGAATGGGTGTATTTTATCACAACAAAACCTGCTTTCCAGTGTCCCAAAGGACAGGCTGTCAAGCTCTTCTTTGCTGAAAAGAGAACAAACTCTGAATTTCATAAGCAATCCTTTTTGAACATGGAAGTCACAATGCAGCAAACACTTTGTGCTCTACAGTAAAGCATGACTCTAATAATGGCTGTCTGCAGAGAAATATTTGTCTCATCATCGGAGCATCCAGAGAGAGAGAGAGAGAGACAGAGACAGAGAAAGACAGAGAGGATGCATCTCAGGAGTGCTGATATCCAAGCTTGCATTTCTCAAAAGCAGAGAAATCTGTTTTTAATAAATGTAGAACACACACTCACACACCCACACACACACACACATATACATATACTGACCCAGAGCAAAGTGCCTGCGGGCACAGAAACACAAGCTAGAAGGCTCTCTTGAGGAACACCTGTTCAGGGCGTTTTACTTTCTGATGCAGTTGTGTTTGATGTGGCTTGGTGTGTAGGAGAAAAGTGTGTATTAGTTCCACATGTATATGCATGGCCTCACACCACTGACCTAGATAAAACCCATCAAAGAAAACTCTCTCGGTTATGCAATGCTGGTGTCACTTAAGACACTGTGCATCATTACATCATTTTTCAGTAACTGAAACTGACAAAGAGCATCACAACAATTTATTTGAGACATTTAAAGAGTTTTAGCACTTGTTCTAATTTGGTAGAGGAGCATGTGATCCTTCGACTTGAGTATGTCTTGGTGAAGTTAAACTGATACTGAGGATCTGGTGGAAGTTTCATATTGGTCTCTGCACTTTTATTTTATAATTGTGATGTTAAATAGGCACTAATCAATAATTTTATATTAACAATGGGTCAAATAAGTATGTGTAAAGTGACAGGGGTCACTTGTATTGATGAGCCAAACTCTTTCTCTCAGTTCTACTTTACAGTTTTGGTTCATCCTAACTCTTCTCATCAACCTTATTTCCAAACCCAGAAACTACCTGCCCAGGTAGTGCATAGTGGGTTTCAACTCAGAAGTTGGTGGAGATGAAGAACAGAGCTGAAACAGAGTGAATATTACACATAAATTTATCAGGCAGTGGCGAAACATGAGCCTGAATGAAGGATAATGTTGTTTCAAGTCTCCTGAATGTGTAAAGAAGTAAATGAATGCAGTTTGTCGTGTGACTTTGTTTTTGACTTAATGATGCTAAATTCATTGCTACAGTAGGTATCTATCTAGGGAAAAAATATTCCCTTTTTAAAATTATTCTTGACCTCAACAGAATTATTTTGGTTTTATGAAGTGAATAGATAAATAAAGAATAGTTACTATTAAAATATGCAGTGTTCCTAAAACTATGGGTAAACATCCACTGCTGTTTTTGGTGATATCTAGTATGCTATACACAAAAACTTACCTTTAATGTAATTGGGACATGCCATAGCCCAAAGCTACATTTCTTTTTTAGTTAGATCTGGATGAAAATTTTAAAACACCTTGCTCTAATAACAGTCTGTAGATGGCCACTAGGCAACTCGACAGAGCTACACCAGCTGCTGCATTCAGGGATTTATCCTTTAAATAACTCAGCTCTCAATCTCACCTCCCCAATCATGCCGTTCCAAGTCCCACGGACCAGCTTGCCGTGTTTTCCGTTGGTGACCAGGTAGAGGTCATAGGAGAACTTGATGGTGCGGGACAGCTTCTTCAGGATGTCGATGCAAAAGCCCTTACAGCATAGTTTGGTGTAAGACTCTGAGTGGCCGATAATACTGTAAGAGGATGAAAAAACAGTCAAGAGTCACACATACAGTACATACAGTTTTGTTTTTAACATCTTGTGATCAAAGGCCCTCTCTGGCAGCTGGGAAGTTATCTTTAGCTTCATAGACTAAAGCTGTTTCGTTTCGGAGTGCGAGTGCTAACGTCACGCTCACAGCGCTCATTGTCAACGGCAGCGAAGTGAAGGGCAGGCGATGGCTGGTTCATTAGCTAAAATCAATGTCTGTTAACAGTTAACAGTCTTTCAAAGAGACGGAGGAGACGCCTAAAAACAACACATAGGCACACGCCGAGGCAGTGTTGATGGAGCCCACAGTGGATGGATGAATGACTGTGATGGCCTCTAATCAAAGGCCATTAAGGTGTGTACCATGTGAGGGACACTCACTTCCTCTATGTGACCTCGCTACTTAATGGGGTGTAGAAGAAGAGAACAGAAGGACAGGAAGTGGTGAAAAGGTAATAGAATAAAAAATAACGAAGGGCCACTAAAAGCAACAGAGGACAATGAAAGTTAAAAGCAGACATTGAAAATGAAGTCGACAAACTTCTTGGGAAAAAAACAACTCTTTCTTTACTTTTTTTTAATTTCATCTATCAGCTGCGATAGTGGAGGTATAAAATCTACAAGGGCTGAATCATGCTGTCTGTGTGTGTGTGTGTGTGTGTGTGTGTTTGTGTGTGTGATTGAGATAACCTCAGCATGTCAATGAGTCAGCATAACAGCTGAAGAGTGTTCAAAAGAGGGCATGTGAGTGATTAAACGAGCAAGACATCGAATAAAAAGTCAAGTGAGCAATTAACACTCAAGTTGATTACATTCAACAGCGTAAGAGTTTGTTTTAGACAAATTTTAAGTGCTTTTGAAAGACTCACTTCTTTCACAGGAGTCAATAGCTCTGATAAACGCAGTGTTAATTAATTGCTGCAGGAGCTGGCCACCTGTCGTCGTTATACACACTCCACTAATAATACACACACACATACACACACAAACACGCCTAAAATGTGCCACACACATCAACACGCACACATATAGTACAGTATCCGCTGAGAATTAACAGCAGTTGTGTTGTGTTCTTCACGAAATGCCCAGAAACTAGTGCAGCGTGGAGGGAAGCACCATGAGGGAGTTAGACCAGAGAGAGAGAGAGAGAGA